GTCACTCACTGAGCCAGGACTCCAGACTCTCCCCTTCCGCCTCCGCCATGTTGCTGGCCGGGCCGAGACTCCGCCTCAGCCGCGCGAGAGCGGAGCGGAGCCGGGCCGGGGGAGGGCCTAGCGGGGGAGGGGCGGCAGTTCTGTGGTGGGAGGGGAGACTGCGGGGTGAGGTGAGGGAGCTGAACCCCCTCCCCGCTATGACCCCCGCTAGTGCTGGGGCTTCATGAGCCTCCCGCAGCAGGCAGGGGGTATTCTACCCCCAGCATAAATGGGGCTAATAAAAGCTCCCCCCCCCCAACTCCTTGCCCCATGGGCTTAGGGCTCAGCTGTCCCTGGTCTGTCCCACGACTGCTCTGATTTACTCACAGCACCCAGAGGCTCCCTCTGCAACAGTGCAGCAGAAGTTTTGCCATGCAAGTGTGTGTTGGGTGTCCGGATGTTACAGGTGCAATCCCAAATAGGGATTTATTTTATGTAGACATCTATTACTTCTACCCCATCCCAATTTTTCACACTTGTCTGGTCTCCCTAGCATGTGGTGCCCCTTTGCACCAGGACCCATGAACTAGGTGGCAGACTTTTTGACAGGGGTACTAGGTTCCAGAACTCAGGCCCCAGTGTCGGTTCTCTTCTGGGTTTTTACCCTCAAAAAATAGCATAAAGGGGATAATACTCAGCTATGTCTGACATGGAGCCCCCGCCTCTCATGTGGTTTGGTTTTATTTTGTTAATCTTAACTAGCAAACTGAGATCCCTACCTGGCATTTCTACATCAGTGGATACTGCACTGATATGGCTCCAGTTGCAGGACATGGTAGGATGCCAGTAATGTAAACAATGATCACAAGACAGGCTTACATTTTATCCTAGTAAGACATCGGATGGCACTAAAAGCACAGATACTACCATTTTGGGCAACATTTCCAAAATGCCAAAATGACTTTTAAAGGCCTAAGTAATTTTTTGAAAATGAGACAAACTCCTAATTCATTTTGGTATTTTTAAATTGTTACCCTTTGCTCCTGATTATGCAGAGCTGGTGCAGACATCCGGAGGGCTCCAGAATCGTGTCTCCACAGAGTACTGTGCCAGATAAGGGCCCATGTAGATGACAGCAATGTCGATGCGTAGCCCAGAGATTCTCCACATCCCCTACTCTGGAGTTATGTAGTGACTTTGTCATCAAAAAGGGAACAGAGACTGAGCCCCTCCACCCTAGTAAGAAGAGAAGGAAATGCAGCCCTCCTCCCACTAGTCTGGGGGAAGGGCAGACCAGGCTTCAGCTCTGAGTCCCAGCAAGACTTGAGGTCCTGGCTAGCCCATTAAAACAGGGTCCCGACCCGTTTTGAGGTCCTGACCCACAGTTAGAGATCCAAGGGCAGTATTTGAAAGCTGAAAAGAGGGACATGCTTGCTGATCGTACACTGGTGTAAATCAGGATGCATTCACGTCAATGGAGTAGCATGGGAATAAAACCGCTAAACGAGGAGAATCAGGCCTGCTTATCACTCTGCTGGAATAGGGAGAGTGTGGGGAGGGGGAAAGGTGTTTGCAAAGTTGCCAATTCTCCCGGACCGGACACAATTTGCTGCCCTGGCGTCCGGTACAACAAGGGACAGTGCAAATGGCAGAGTGAGGGAAATAAAAACC